GAGGGTGGGATGGCATGGTTTCAGAGCAGTGTGCCTCCGGGCCCCAGGCCCCAGGTGCATCTTCAGAAGATAACAACTGTGAGGTCTGTGTACTGTGGTCGCCTGTGCTGACAGTGGCTGTGGGAGGAAACTAAACCGCTTCGTGTTGGGAATGAAAACCTCATTTGTAGCTCACCTGCACGTGGTAGGATGGATGGGCCGGACCCTGTTCTTTGCTTTGTTCTCTCATGCCATGTGGTACAGGACCAATTACAGCACTCGATAGCCTTAAGCTGTTCGGGGGTCTCGATGGAAAGCTTTCCTACACCCCATCCCTACACCTCAAATATTTTGAAATATTTTGTCAGCTGAGAAATGTATGAGGATTTCATTGACTAGTGTACCGTGTTAGTTAAAACTAGTATACCTTAAATGTAGAGGAAGAAGGGTGCCTTGTAAAATACTCTAAATAAGATTTTTCTTGTATACACTTAAGAGTGTTTGTGGCTGAAGGGACAGTTCCGTGGTTAAGAGCACTTGCTGCAAAATCATGAAGACTAGAGTTCAGATCCCAGCACCCAAATAACAACCAAGGCATCTTCCCTTCTGCCTGTGACCCCAGCTTAGGATACAGGCAGAGACAGGATTGCTGAGGTTTGCTGACTTCCAGCATAGTGGAGGAAAATGAGGTTCAGGGAGAGACCATCCCTCAAAAAGTAGTAGGCGGACACTTAACTCACTCTGCACACGCCAGCATAAACAGGTACACTCATACACACAAACATACATGAATCTTTTTTAAAACTTGTGCAACTAATTGTGGTGTAAGGCTTGGTACATGTTCACTGTGAGCATGTCACTTGTGCCTGAAGTAGATGGCCGTTAATTTTCAGTTTAGAGCAGAGGAACAGCATTTGCTTCTCAAAAAACAAGAGGGCAAGAGAGAGGGCTCATCGGTTAAGAGCACTGGCGGCTCTGGCGGCTGACCCAGGTTCAGTTCCCAGCACCCACATGACAAGTGGCATCTGTCTGTAACTAGTTCTGGGGGAACTGACACCCTCCTCTGGCCTCTGCAGACAGACACAAGGCGTGGCTGTAATGCACACGCATACATGCAGGCAGAAACACCAACATAAAATAAAAAGTAAATAAAAAATTTGAAACACAACTCTCCTGGCGGCCATGGCTCCATGGCGGAACACTTGTCCATCAGACCAGAGGAGGCCTTGGGGTCTATAGCATCAAAGACTAAAAGAAATGAGCATTGTTGATCTTTAAAAAACAGAACACTAGCTAGGTATGATGGCACGTGCCTTTAATCCCAGCACCCAGAGACAGGGGTGGGTGCATCTGAGTTTGAGGCCAGTGTGGCCTATACAGCTAGTCCCAACACACCAGGGCTACACCTTGAGCCTTGGTGGTGGAGTATCTGAGACACAGCAGCCTCCTCTGCAGGTGGCGTTTCTGTTGTACAGTGCTGTTTTGTAACAGCTTTTTAAAATTACACCTAAGTACAGCTGATAGCTTACTTGCTAACCCAGGGCTATTGCCGCCAATTACAGTGTAGGCTGAGCCTGGTCTTAGCCATTATCTTGGGTTAATACACCCTCCTGACACCACCAAAACAGATCATGGCCCCAGGCTTAGCCACCTTTTCTGGTCCTTTGTTCAGTGTTTTTTCAGGATCTGGTCTGTAGACCTTAGGGCCTTCATTCCTCCATCCCAAGCTGTGGGGATCTGTTTATATCTGGGCATCTACTTGAACTGCCATTGAACTGTTCTTTATGGGAGAAAAAGACAGTCTGCTTATCTCCCCTAAACAACAGCTTATCACTAAAGCTGAGTTTGGACACCAGAGATCCATAGCTGCTGGCAATGTGCTTGCTCTGAGCTGTTCTTGATAAGTCAGCTTATGGTCCACGCTAGCTCCTTCAGTGGTGCTTGGAGTTCTCAGCCAAGCATGAGCCAGACCACCTCCCGATGCGTACATGTGAAGGGTTAGCTGGAATGCAGAACGTTTCTTCTACAGTCTGGAGCCATTCATCAGAGGAGTCGTTTTGTGTTACAGCGGAAGAAGACAGTGATGCTTGTTCAAGCGCAGTTCTCTCTGTGCCTAAAGAGCAATGGAAGCCAGGTGTGGTGGTACACGGCTGTAATCCCAGCTCAGGGAGGCAGAGGCAGGTGTATCTCTGTGAGTTCGATGCCAGCCTGGTCTACAAAGAAAGCCAGGGTTACACAGAGAAACCCTGTCCCGAAAAACAACAGTAACAAACATAATAACGTAGCCCCAGACATGAGATGCACGGGAAAGGCCAAATGAGAGGGCCCAGTCAATCAAAAGGAGTGGGACCATCCCCAGATGTCCCTTGCCAGCAAGAAAGAGTGGGTAGCTCGAAGAAGGAAGCTTCCTCGGAGCTCAGAATGGTTTGTTTGCCAAGAGCTAAAGCAATTCTCTGTGAAAGCTTTTTTTTTTTTTTTAATAGACCAAGAGAAAGTGTGAACCATGTGTAGTATCTGAGTCCAGACAGAACAGTGACACACACCTGTGATCCCAGCACTTGGGAAGTGGAGGCAAAAATCAGAAATTCAGTGTCAGCCTGGGCTACATAACAAGTTGGAGACCAGCCTGGGCTACATGAAACCTTGTCTCAGAGAGAGAAAAACAGAGAGAGACAAAGAGGGGAGGAAGAAGAGCAATTTGTAATTTGTGTTAGTCTTCAAGAAGTTCAGCTCCATGACTTCGGTTTGGCATTATAGAACGACATGGCTCGTGGTCATTTCTTATTCAAGTCGATGAATCTTGGCCACATAGCAAACACTGGCTGAGCTGGTCAGCAACTTTGATCATAACTTTATCGAGCACGTGATCTGTTTTTCACCCATTGTCTCTCAGTACTTGGGTTTTCTTTGTTTCCAACCACAGAGTTGAAGCTAGACCTTTCTCTTCCATGTGTCTGGGGAGAAACAGCAGAATAAGGAGGGGGTGATGGGAAGCTGGCATGGTGGCATGGTACCTCACTGGGCTTTTCAGCTATGTAGGTGTGTTTTCCTGTGAGGACACCCAACAGAAGGAGCCCCTAAGTCAGATACAGTGTTTGACGGCCCATAGTTTTAAAACACTGACCCAAGTGGTACATGCCTGTCACCCCAGCACTCAGGCCTGGGCAATGTGGGGAGAGCGTGGTTTGGAACCCATGTCACCAAATCCTTAAAAGCTGAGAACCCAAGGGAAGGTATGGAACTGATGTGTCCTCCATTGATTTTTTTTCCAATTATTTAAACTTCAGTTTTAATAAAGTTAATAGTAACGTTAATATTTATGGTTAAAAACAGTATAGCCAGTGACGGGATGTGACTTCCTGGTCTGACAACCTAAAACTTGAACTCTTCCAGAAGACTTCCTGTTTCCACTAATACTTCCTGTAGTAACATCCTGGGGCGCAGAGCTCCCCCTCACTGAGGCTTTATGGGATTCCTGCTTCTCTTTTAAGCAGGAATTTCTCTCTCCCTGTCTTTCTCTCTCTCTCTCTGCAGCTCAGCATTATCCTCCTGCCTCAGGTTCTGGAATGTGGGGATTGCATCCTTTACTCTGCTGAGGCATTGGTAACTTGGTCATAGAAGCCATGACAATAGTTTTGGGGGGGAAAATTAGCTAACTCTTGAAGTGTTAGTGTTCGCTTGTGTATTTTTTTTAGAGTTATGGATCTGCAGTTTATGGATGTTTTACGTTGATGAAATTTAAAGATGGCAGTAATTTGTACTGCTTCACTGCCTCCCATCACCTGCCATGGTCCAATCTTTATATTAACTCTTCTCAGAAATACCTTTACTCCCAGACCCAAAACATTTCCTCCCCTCATGTGTTTGTGAACTTGAATCCGTCTTTGTTGACTGAGTTACTATTCAATGAAAACATGCAGTTATGCTCCCATTTGGATGAGCTGTTGATGCCGCTGAGCCTGCTTCTGAAGACACACAACTTCCACATTACCCCTCACTTGGCTTTGGAAGGGACAAACATTTCATCAGGTTTGAATCTTTCCTAGGAATTTGTACCTTGTTGTAAGACCAAAGTGGGTAACTAAAACATCATGTTCTCTGTTTCGTGCACTTTTTTTTTTTCCTACTGTAGTCCTAGTGTAGGTGCTAGGAAGGTTCTCTGTCAATGATCTTTTTAAAAATTATTTCATATTGTGTCTATGTGTGCAAGTGTGTGTGTGTAAGACAGAAGACAGTTTGTAGGGGTCATTTCTCTGCTTTCACCACATGGGTTTTGAGAATCAAACTCAAGGTTAGGCTTGCTGGCAGCAAGTGTTTTTACCTGCTAAGCCATGGCACCAGTCCCTGTCATGTTTCTTTGGTGACCTTCATTGTACTGTTTAGTATTCTTTTAAAAACAGGAATACCTATGGCTGGGTTAGGATGTCTTTTAGTAAGTCTGGGCCGTCTGTTCCATGAGTTTATTCTGCTGTCACTTGTACCGTGACTGCTGGTTCTGTTTTGTTTTGCTCACCAACTTTTACACAAGCTAGAGTCCTCTGGCAAGAGGGAATCTGAATTGAGGAATCACCTCCGTCAAGTTGCCTGTAGATAAATCTATGAGTATTTTCTTAATAAATGATTGCCAGGAAAAGGCCCAGCCCACCGCAGGCAGGGCCACCCCGGGACCGGACCGGCGGTCCTGAGTTGCATGAGAAAGCAAGCTGAGCAAGAGTAAGCCGAGTTGCTGCTCACTGCTCCTGCCTCTCTTATCGGGTTTCTCCCCTGACCTCTCACAGTGGATGACTGTGATCAACCGTGTGGGCCACAGAAGCCCTTTTTCCCCAAGCTGATTTCAGTTAGTGCTTTATCGCCGCAACAGGACATTGCTAACTAGGGCCCTGCCTAAAATGATGCACAGGCCAGGGAGCTGCCAGGGGACAAGAGTGTGTGAGATGGGTTTGTTCCTGGAAACTCAATGTGTGATGTTCTTCGTGCTGTGAACCCGGGCATGATTTCCGGTTTCTTTGGTTCCCACACAGCTTCCATAAGGCAGTCTCAGGAGGAACCTGAAGACATGCGCCCGGAGATATGGATTGCGCAGGAGCTGCGGCGGATCGGAGATGAGTTCAACGAATCTTACACTAGGAGGGTAAGGACCTCTTCCCGCCGCCACAGGAAAGGAGACTGGGCCTTCTGCTGTTCCTCTCCTGACTTCCACTCTTGCTGCAGCTAAGGGCCGGGCTTTAAATTAAGATCCAGCGTGAAGCTGCAAGGGTATTTCGTGTGTGAGAGACCTCAACACATTAGTGCTTAAAATTCTTTTAGAAGATTATTTATACACGTTGAAATAGCACCACGTAAATACGGAGCACAGCGTTTGCCGTTCAAGTAAGGAGCTTCCCGTGTAGGCAGAGCTGTTAACTTTTGGCAGCCACCCAGCCAGGACTCCCAGGGAGGGGCTCCTGTCCTCAGCCCTGCTGCTGGCCTTGCCCGTTTGGTTATTAACTGTATCGGGAGGCCAGTAATCAGTAGCTTATGATGTAAACCTAGTGTGAAGGTTAAGTAAGGTCAGCTGGCGGTCTTACAGATTTTCCAGGTATGTTCTTGATTTAAGTAATAATAACTTAGTTCAACCTCTTCATAAGCAGTATGTTTAAGAACAGTTTTGATGCTTTCCTGATGGGGTGAAGACATTTGTCTGTTTGAGGCCCTGCCTCTCATGGAATCCACTTTTGGGGGTGCAACAGGCTTTGACTCTGACGTGCATGACCACTCTGAGCAGGGTGACCGCTTAGCAAAGTGTCCCGGGGTAACTTTGAGTTTTTCTCATCCCTTCAAATGCAGCCTCTCTTCTCTCTGGAGATGCCAGACATGGGACCCTGAGATGTTTCTCTCTTTACATAGACATCTCCTTTTAGCCAGTCCTAAGTAAGTGGGTGTTCCCATGAATTGCTTGAGCAGTCTTCTTCCTTTTGGGTAGGGAATCTGTCAGGGAGTCCTGGAACTTGAGAATAATTTCAGTTCCTCTTCCTGCTTTTAAGTGGAGTGTGTTGGGGGATGTGTGTGTGCTACAGTCACACTTCTGTCATCAAGTGGGAACTGTCATGCTGATGAATGGACTGAGGAAAATTTTCATGATTCTGTGTTTAGCTGGCACAAGCCTGGCATCCTTCCCCTGACGTAGATTGCTTCACAGAATATAAATTCCTCCTTAGCCTTGGTCCAAAATGGTAGTCCTTTTGGAAGACTGGTTGATTTCATAATTTACCATGAAAACTGCATCAGCTAATCCCTCTGCCTCGGATCCTTTAAAGAGATTTTAGTATTTCTGTTGGTGACTGGGCTTGTTGGCTGTATGAGGCCATGGCCTGTTTGGGAGCCTGGTCCTTCTGTTGGGGGCAGGAGTTGGGTCCAGAGTCCTGGAGGGCCTGCCATTTCTGAGACATGTATGTAGGTATGAGCTGGCTGTGATCCTGTGTCTGTCTTAGAACACAGTGGATGCCCTCGGGGCTGGACCTGGTGGGTGGGGCCGCCTCAGGAGGGACGCAGCTGTGGGCAGGTCTGCTTACTGCTTAGACTTGTACGCCGAGATGAGCTGGCACAACACCCCACACAGGCTGTATCAAAGCCTTTGTCTGCAGAACCAGGCGTGTTGATGGATATTTTGCACAAGTTTCATTTTAACCCATAAGGTGGTATGGATTAGGGGGGACTAGGAGGCCTTCCCCCACAGGCCTGGTTGATCCAGCCCCCTGGGGCCTGTGAGTGGTTACTGATGAGATGGTTAGGGTGACAGATAGCTGGTGAGAGTGCAGTCACAGTCTGTGGCTGGTCCCTCAGGAAGGATGTCCAGGTGACGAATGGTTCAGGTTCTGTGCAGGCGAGATACGAACCATCCTGGGTTCTTCACTAGCCCAGTTTGCCTTCCACAGGATGAGTTAACAGCTGTGTGTGGTCTAGCTCCCACTGTCCTCCCAGTGCTGTTCTGTAGTTTCATGTTTAAGTGTGCATTTTGAGATGTTTGCATCTGTGTTTTTTTTTTTTTTAAAGGAGATGTGACATTGTTATTTCCTGTCCTTTTAATGCAATAAATGTAAACATCATTGTGCTGTTTTGCAAGATTTTATACTTTATTTTGTGTGGTGTGTGTGTGTGTGTGTGTGTGTGTGTGTGTGTGTGTGTGTGTTTATAGGTCAGAGAACACATTTTGAGAGTTGGTTCTCTGCTTCAGACTAGCAGGCCTGCAAACTTCTGGAGCAGTTCTCAGTCCTTTGCCTCCCGTCTCACCAGTCCTGGGGTTACAGATGCACACACGCTCTCAGGGCCCTTATGTGGGTTTCAGTGGCCCGATTCAGATGGTGAAGCTTCCGTGTCAGGGTGATTTTACCAGATGAGGCATCTTGCCAACCCGTAGCATATCTAAACCCAGTGCTGAAATTCGGTCACTAATAAAGGACTTTAGCTTTCTTGGTAGGCTGGGGAATCTAGGCTAGCCCCTAATTCCTCTAAAATGAAGGCAAATGTCCTCCAGATGGTAGGTGTCAGCAGCCAGTTCAAAACGCCAGACTCTGAAACTCAGTGACACAGTGACCCCTAAAGCCACAGCCACCAGTCTTTGTAGTTAGAAGAGCAGCCCATTGTCTGTCATTACACTAATGGTCCATTGTGGAACACTGGGGACAGGAAGTCAGGCAGGAAGTGGGAGAATAATGAGTTCAGATGACCCACTGCTGAGCTGCTGCCCATCCCTCACCTGCATGAGAGAATTTACCAAAGCCTCTAGAAGAGTTAATGCCCGACTGGGGCAGCTATCTTCTCTCGCGTGTTAGCTTCTACTGCCGCTAACCTTCCAAAGCCTGACGGGATAGCCCCATTTGTAGCTGTTGTGTGTTGAGTCCATTTAAGCACAGTGGGGCTCCATGAGAAGGAGCTTCGGATGCTGACCCACGCAGCCAGAGACGAGGAGGTCACGAGCGAAAGCCCGGTTCCCTGTGCCTCTGGCTGCTGGACTCCCGGGGTGGCACTGCAGGCAGCTCTCAGGAGGAATAAGTCTGCTCTGTAGTATGGGAATGTGGGGCAGCTCTTTGTTTTAAAATTTTCAAGAAACATACAGAGAACTTTGTTAACGTGCCACCTTAGCACCCCCAGTACGTGTCAGTCACATGTGCTGTCAGTGTGTGTGTGTTTTCTCCGTGATCCGCTTAGCTTATCTAAAAGTTTGTGTTCTTTAAGACTTTTATACACTGTTTTGATCATATTCATTCCCTTCCCCAGTTCCTCCTGTATTCTCCTCCACCTTCCTAACTCAGCAATTTCATGTTGTCCTTTGCTTCAATTATTGTTGTTACGAGTTTTCATCCGTAAGATGGTCAGGGAACATAGGGGTGGGTATACGCCAGAGGAACAGGACATTGGCTGTGAGGTTGTGTCACCTGTATAGGTCAGGGAAGCTGTCTCCCTTTCAAGTCTCAGTATACTCACCTGAACAAGATCTAAGCAAGGACAGTCCTGTTTGACATGCCAGCGTGCAAGGGAGACTCTCTTGATATCCACTCCTCAATTAATACTGCAGCTGTGTGCTTCCTGAGAGTAAGAACATACATGTACATGTGACATCTCATCTGTACATGTTACATGCTACCGCATGTAACAGTCATGATCAGCAAATGGTAATGTCCTGATGCTGTCTTGTTGCAGACCTGAACTGCTTATCTGTCTTGAAAAGTCCCTGAAAAGCTGGGAATGGGGTGTGGGGGTAGGGGAGAAAGACACAGCCAAGACCCATGCATCGATGAGGTTCACTTTGGCCCTGGAAACTCCTGTCTTTGGAGAGGTTGGCAGACACTCGTGAGAGGATCCAGGCAGTTGGAGTTTGTAGACTCGCTTTGTTTCTTTTAGCTGGCAATTCCACAGGTTGAGAGTTAGGTTTTGTGCTTCTGTAGGAATGCTGCAGAGACAAGTTGTCCTTGGTCCCCTCCAGGGGGAGGTGTGTGGTGGCCCTCTGGTGCTGATAGTGTAGAGGCAAGGTGGTGTCTTCACTGTAGAATTTCCACTTAGTGGACTCAGAGCTTAGGACACAAGAAGACAAAGCTGCTGCACTGGGGGAGGGGGGAGGGGGAGTCCTCCGCCTGAAAGACGTTTCCTGATCGTTACACCCAGGGGGTGTGCCGACCATTCTACACCTGGCTGTCCACTCTACGCTGCGGTACCCTTCTGGAAGACTCGGGGTGGCAGAGGCTTTGGGAGAAGCTGGACAGACCAGGGAGGTCAGTGGGTGCAGAGAAAAGCTCAGAGAAGCTGATTGTCTGGAGGTCGTGGAGAAAGAAAGCAGGTTGCGCTCAGAGCTGTGTGGCGTGGGGTCATCTGTGTCTTGCAGCCTGTGCGGGGATGTGTCAACGTGAGGCCACCCACTTCTTGCTCGTCTCCCAAGCCAGCATCAGCGCTGTTTGCCTACCTTAGCTGCTGCTCCTGTACCCATATCTGGATCTTCTGGGGGTGACATCGAGTATAAGCATTATAGTCCTCTGCACCCCTTGCATACTCATCAAGAAGATGGCCGCTGGTGGGCATTTTGGCTGTGGGCTGGGGTTGCTGGGAAAGGCCTGTCAAGCCCTTCAGATGGTTGTTCTAGGGGACATGCTCTCAGTGTACAGTCTAAAGCTAAGATAGACTCTGCGGATGGGACGGCGAGTGAATGGAATCCCTTCCATTGTCTGGTCACAAGAAACAGTGCATCTTTGTGTTTACATGCCACTTCCTCCTCTGTCCAGGGCGTGTGCAGGCATGAACTGATTGAAGTGTGTGGAGACAGCAGTATCGCCGCATCAGATAAAGGGGAGCTGAGAAGGTGCCCCACAGATCAGTTTTGATAAAACAAGTTTCGCTGAAGCGCGTTACGCACTGGAGCGTATGAGTGTTTTAAACTTGAAGTCTGTGTGTCTCTCTGAGTTTGTGCTTTTAGAAATGAGGGTGATTCCTATAAATCACCAACAAGGGAGAGGCCTAAATTATAGCTTGCTTGGATGGCACCAACCAGAGATGTGGCCTCGGGCCGTGTTCTCCAGAGGCCTTCATTAATTGAAAGCTGGAGTTTAATAAGTTGCCTTCTTAGACTGTTGAGAAAAACACCGTTAAAGACATGAATATCAA